TTTTACATATCAAGGAGGACAAATGTCGAGGCATTATCATTCTTTTAGTCTACCTATTTTTTAGGCTATTGTGTTATTATTTTAGCTTTGATTATATTATTATTCTACTTCTCATACAGTAGTCTGTGAAGAGTATTAAAGGCTTACTTTGTCCATCTGTCTATGTCACATTTTTTGTCTGCCCCATAACTCAAAAACGAAAAATGATATTAACTTGAAATTTTTAGTAAAAATCAAGCTCTATAAGGAGATGAGGCCTATTGTCTTCATGATATAGATATATACCTAACAGTCACAACTATTTAGTTTCTTGAATTAATTTAGTCAAGTGCAATATTTATTTTTTGTGTTGTCCTTAAAAAAACTGTGATGTAAGTTTAGCTTCCATTTTTTAGTAAATGCATGCGACACCATCATTCGAGTTAAATCCTCACCGCTACATCAGTCTAATTCTGTTTATCAGTACTTCTAGCATTTATAGATAGAACATATATTTCTATAACTTCAAACTCATTAGGGACAACCTACAAAATAAAACAATTATTTATACAAAATTGTACTAGGAACAAGAAATTATCCTTGTTCATATAAAATATATAATAAAATTGTCATACTTGTGAGATACAATGTAAAATGATTCTTCTTGGCTGGCAACTGCAATCTAAGATCTGTTTAAAATTAGGTAGTTTATATCATTGCCCTAACAGCCAATTCACAGATAAATTATTGACTTTTTAGAGATTGTTCTTGATGCTCGAGTTTCCTTTGCGTTGTTTAACAGAGCCTCCCATTTTACCAGGAAGCATAATTATTTAGTTTTTCGTGTTCCCCGCCCCTGTTTACAATATATCGAAGCAATTATGGTGACAATCTCGGTGATCAATAGACAAAATCATCGTCCATCGCGTGATCGCATCGACTCAAACCTCGAACCTAAATAGCATTAACTACACTTTCAGCTGACCGATGCAATTGTTACCCCTACAACGTTGCCCCTTCGCACCAATTCATTCAATTCGACGTTCTTTGTTTTATTTGGATGAGCTTTTTTGCTTTGTGGTTTAATTTATGATTCATTTTTGTTGGCATTAGCTTTGTTCGGCTTACTTTTGAGGAAAGTTTAAAATCGTTATAATCATGCGCATTTAAATTTACGTGTTCGGGTTTCTCCAAATCTAGTCCTAGGACACTCTAGGATTGACTGTTTCGTGTGTAATTTAGTGCGCAACTAATTTCACGCAGTTCTGAATCGTTCTGAAACGTTATAAAATTGGTAAGCCGAACAAAGCTACTATTGCTCCGTTCTCAGAAATTTTACAGAAACAAACAAATACGACCGGATTGATGGAAATCCGCTCGGACCCGGCTGGATTGAAAATGATGCTGAATTGCAGTCTCTATAGATCAGTGGTCGCCAACCTGTCGATCGCGAGCTACCGGTAGCTCGCGGAGGCAATTCTGGTAGCTCTCACAACGATTTTAATTTAAAAATACAAACTGCAAAAATCAGAGAAGCTTCCGAAAATTCCACAAAAAAATCTAATTGTCATAATATTAAACATAAACAGCGGCAACATTGCGGTGAGTGATCTGCCGCTGACGCCATCAAGCTAGAATCGGCTAGAACCGACCAGCCGGACCAGCGCGTTAGTGTTCGAGAACGATCAGGATTGCTTTGAACGGGATAAATACGCACGGCGCGGCGACATTGCGCTTAGTTTAAAACTGAACACATAACCAACGTCCAGCGGTTGGGTTAGTAGAGAACAACAAAAAATAATATTATGGCAAGCAGTTGTAAGAAGGTAAAGACATACCACTTTCATTCGGAATGGGAATAACAATACTTTTTTACAGAAGATAAAGATAAAAATGTGTGTTTGTTATGTAATACTTCGGTCTCCGTTGCTAAAAAAGGAAATATTGAGAGACATCATAAAACTGTACATTCTACTTTTAAAAATTGCACAATAAAAGAAACCTTATGAAGATGGGGAAATGATAAAACAGGCGTTTTTAGAAGCTGCTGATTCGTTATTTGCCAACTTTGGAAATAAAGACGAGATAGTTTCAGCTATAAAATCTATGCAACTTTCTGCTAATACAGTGATGGGACGTGTAGAAGTAATGAGCAATGATATTTTTTTACAGTTAAGAACTGACTTAGATAACTGTGTTTATTTTTCACTTCAACTGGATGAATCAACAGATGTCGTTGACACTGCCCAGATGGCCGTGTCCGTCAGGATGGTTTTTAGTGATTTTACGATTAAAGAAGATCTTTTGAAGTTTATTCCACTGAAAGGACACACTGTTGGACAGGAGTTGTTTTCTCATTTAAAAAATATTATTTCTTCCGAGAAAATTCCAATATCGAAAATGGTAGGCTTGACAACCGATGGCGCTCCAGCTATGGTGGGTTGTGATAAGGATCTGTTGGCGTTATGTCGTAAAGATGAAACTTTTCCGCAATTTCTCTGTTACCACGTTATTATTCATCAGCAAGCATTATGTGGAAATTTCCCGAAACTAAACAACGTTATGAAACTGGTGGTAAAAATTGTGAGCTCTAAAGCTCAAGCATTACAAAGAAGATTATTCAAAACCTTGGTCGATGAAGTTGACTGTCAATACGGGGACCTACTCCTTCACTCTGAAGTCCGATGGTTAAGTAGAGGACGGGTGCTGAAACGTTTTAATGATGTCCTATCTGGCATAGTTTAATTTTTCAAACAACGCGATGAACCGACTCCGGAACTAGAAAATTCAATCTGGCTTAGAGATTTTGGTTTTCTCGTGGACATTATAGAGAAATTAAACGAACTTAATTTGCAGCTTAAGGGGAGAGACAAAGAACTAGCGGAAATGATTTCTGATATAAAAGCATTTATCAAAAAGCTGGAGATTTGGAAACAAAACCTAATTAACAGCGATGCCAAGCATTTTCCTATTCTTTCAGAAAAAATATCTCAAAATCCATTAGAACCCTATGACAGCAAATATAATGTAGAAATAGTTTCTACCATGAAGAATAACGTTAAAAATCGTTTTAAGGATTTCAACGAAATGGCTTTAGTAGCGCAGTTTGTTGTTTCACCCTTTATGGAAATTGATATCCAACAGTTTGCAACTTGTGTTATGCAGAACTTTGGCGAAGATATCGCTGCAACAGAAATGGAAGTAATTGAGTTTCAAAATGATTTAGCCTTAAAATCGTTAGTCTCAAGTACCAAATGTATTTGGCCTATTGTAAGTAAAGACAAATATTCAGTTCTATGCCGTGTTGCCTTGAAAGTGAAAGCATTATTCAGTTCAACCTATTTGTGTGAATTTTCTTTTTCCAATATGAAGTTTATTAAGAACAACTATCGCAATCGACTTACAGATGAACATTTGGATTATTGTATTCGAATGGCTGTATCAAATTATACTGCAAACATTAAAAAAATTATCGATGAGTCTGAATGTCAGCCTTCTCATTGAACGTGTTTTTTTATTTTTCAATGTTTATGTTCATGATAGTGCGTTACTTTTTTGTTGTTATTATTAACTATTTTTAAATCTTACGTGACATGCCGTTGTGGCTGGATAAAAGTTTGTGTTTATTTTTCAAACACCTTCGTTTGGTAGGTAGGAATGTAGCTATGAACAAGTACGTACTAGTAATATTAGTTATTTTGTTATTAGTTTATTATTAGTACCTATGTATTATGTATTACCAGTTAAATAGTAAAATAAATACATATAATGATAAATTAACTGTGAATTATTTCATTTACGTTGCGTTACGTGGCTTCCGTGTGGGTAGCTCGCTGTTTATTCCAAAATTAAAAAAGTAGCTCAACACATTGAGAGGTTGGCGACCACTGCTATATATAATGAATGTTATTTAGAACGACTACTACAAGTACCACTATTTAATAAATATTACAATAAAGAACTCAATACAATATAATTGAAAAAGAGGATCTTTCCACTTGATGATGAGGTTATAAGAAAACCTCGAAACTGGTAGTGATTAAAATAATTCTGTGAGAACTTAAGGACCTAGTTTTATTTATCTATCTTTACTCTATAACTCATACATGGCGACTTCCTTCAACTTTAAATAATAAGTGTGTAATTGGGATTTTATAAATAGTGATTTATAAAAAAAAATATTTCACATGTCATTTATTTAAAATTAATTTTAAATGGGAGTAGCAAGAAGTTTTTTTATCGACTTAAAATTTCACTGATATATATTTAAAATAGTTCTTGGGATAATTTTCATAAATAACTTTACTTTAAATATTATAGTCGATAAAATTGTAGTTAAAAAGTTTTTTCTACACCCACATGGATATTAGCTTATTTACGCACAGACTACAAAACAAAAAAGTATGCTATTGCCTTTAACTAAACGAATATATTTCATATCGATTCTAGGTAGTGAGATCACTGCAAAAAAAAATTAAATCCACCAATCACAGTTTATATTTTCGACCGACATCTGGCCTGGGCTTCGAATCCCAGACCAGATCATGTGGATTTTTAATTAAATTGCATGGTTCGGTTTAAGATTTGATGTGTGCCGTATTAATAGAAATTTAATTTCTGTTGATATGACATGCAGATTAAAAAATCGCCATGCATTACCGTCTCGATGATGGTGGGTGAGGTTTTCCGGGTTTTCCTCACCTGTAAGTCAAATGGCACCATCAATCATCTTTAAGTCGCCCCGTGAGCGCCACGGCAAATAATAATAATAATAATAGCCGTCCCTTCCCCTACACAAGTCGTTCAGTCGACTTCAGGGGTTGAAATTCACTCGTAAGAGGGTGAATTAGGGAGAGTATTATTATTATTTAAAAAATATTTTATCGAGTAATAATAAACTTTTATATATTGTATATTATTGTCACTATATTAATAACGTTAGATATTGAACCATGTTAATTGTCAATTAAAACCAAAATTGGAAAATTTATATACTTATTGTATTTATTTCTTTTTTTTAGGATGCCTCGCTGCGCCACACTTCCCCATTACAGTGTTCCTCGAGACACTCCTCCTCGATCACCATGTAGTCCTGCAAGTAGTCCAATTGCAGGAATATCCTCTAGAAGTGTTAGTCCATCCTCGCCTCGATCACCGATAGCTGCATCGAGGCATAGCGCATTTAGTTTAGTTTATCCCAAAGAATTACATAGGAATAAAAATTATTTAACTGTTAATGGTAAGTTTAAAATTTTAAGAGGTTTTGTTATTATTTAAGTAAATCCATTATAAACAACGAGATCTCAGAACTGAAGATTCTTATCTATCCAAATGTTTGTCTCAGAAACCAGAATTACCACAAAAGAACGTCCTTGGCATCAATACATACATAAATGTTTGGGTTTACAGTAAACAAACATAAATATCTAGTGAAATCAGTACCCTTGTTGCAGTGCATATAATAAGCTCCATAAGAAATGCATTGCATTTTAAAAACATTAATATATAAAGCATTAAAGTTAAATTGAAAATTCTAAAAAGCAATGTGTCGGCTCACATACATGTATGTATACACGCAGACGATTACTGGAGATTTTATTTTGCGTTTTCGGGCTAATAATGCTCAGAAACATGTAGAAAAATGTTAAAAAGTTGACATGAATGCAATAATTTAGGAATTTCGTTATAAAACATCCTGTAATATGGAAAAACCAAAGTGATTTCAGCATTTGGAGAATCTATACTGCCCTTCGAGATTCAGAAGCACAAACTCGTTTTCGTTCAGAGGCAAGACAGTATTTCTAGTTATTAAAAAAGATTAAAAAAAAAGCTCTTAAAAGGAATTCTTCTCTAAAGACAAAAATTAACACTTACTTCTTTCTAATTTAAAAACACAACTATTTTTTTATTACTTCTGAAATTGTGCCTTTCGGTTTTGGATCATAAAACAAAGATAATTAAATATAGTTAAAGTAAATAAGTAAGTACTCACTTGTAAATAATTATAAACATAAAATGTTAATTTAATTAACATATTCATTATTAATATACAGTAATGGAACTGATTTTTTTATTTCTATTTCTGTACTTTAAAAAGAAATAATTGTTTTGCCGCCTTATTTTAATATAAGTAGCCATTATTCCTAACGTGTAGGTACGTTTGATTTGAATGGGATAATCACGACCCACTGTGACCCTATAAGGAATGCTGGAATATGATGTGGTTCCTATTAAAGTTCTATAGGAACAAAAGATGTAATATTTAGCTTCAAATATCGTTCATTCATTCTTATCATGTATACAGTGTCAGCTATCGAACGTTTTCCAATACGTTTTGCGTATCTCCAAGTAAAAACTACAAAAAGTTACTATTTGAGCGAGCAGGAAACGAATCATATCAAGCAACGCAGCCAGCCGCATGGGAATATATCTCGAGACGAGAGTCCGCTACTCAGTGCATGATGCAGTGCGATCCGTTGATGCAGTGCCTTCAGTGTTGCAAACTTTGTAATAAGATTTTTTCCCTCCATTTACCTTAAAAATTCCCACTTTTATGAAAAAATTCCCTCCCTTCACAAAATCGGTTTTATACCAGCATTTACATATTTTCAAAAAAATATTTATTAAAAGTAAAGCGAACGTATATAACTAAGTATAAAAAGTATAACCTAAAAACGATAAATCTATCAACAAAACTTTAAAAAAACATAAAAGAATTGATTTATTTTTAAAATTATTCATTTTTTCCAATTTAGACTGGAGTAAAAAATTCCCGTTTCGAATTAACTTTTTCCCGTTGAAAATTCCCGCAAAACGGGAAGTTTCCCTCATTCGTGGAACGAGATCATTCTCCAATAATTTCGTTCTAACGGATTCTATGGTTGGCGATTTGTTTTCAAAATAAAAAAATGAATAGTTGTGCGTACCATATTTTTTTGGCGCTCGTTCAATTTGATTTTTTTTTCGACCACGATAATTTACTTTTGGAGCTTGCACAGTCTCAGTCATCTTCTTTTCATGTACAATGCGTTCATTTGTCGCCACGGGTACTCTCGTTAAAAATTAACAGCGGTCCAAGACTTACATTTTCGGAAGTGACCTCTCCATAGATGCAAGAAACATCTATGAATTCACAATTTATGTTTGATACTTATTTCAAGACTTTTTTCGAGACATTCTTTATTACCAACTCTAAACTAATTTACCAATAGCCTTATTTTTATTTAATACCTGTAGTGATTCAAATTACCATAACATCTAATATTTTTGAAAATACTAAATTATACAAACAAGGCAATACAATTCTTTCTTCATAGTATTTACAATTGAATACAAAATAGACCATTTTGAAGTAGTCTTTGGATGGTCTTAAACACTAAAACAAAATATAATACAAATTAGAGTCGTAAAAATTTATTATATGTAAATAAATCAACATAACCTTAAAAATTTTATTTTACCTTGCCTTTCGGGAACAATCGTTGAATTGGCACACATCTTTCAATTTATTGAAGACACAGTTCTTAATTAAACACATTTTTTTAAATAAGCACAATTAAAATAATCTTACGTTTTTATTTAATATATTTAATAGTAGAGAATAACACTAATGACAGTGACAATTTGTTTGATTTGATACAGTGTTGCCAGAATATGTTTTTGTTATGTCTAAAAAATGTACCAGATTCCTTAAATGTATCAGATTTTTTGAATTCTCTTTGCAGTGACATCTAATTCATTGAAAGGGAAAAAAGGGGGTCTTTATTGATAATGAACCCAAACAAGGAACCCAATATTTGAGATGAGTTGCGACGAAATTTTCGTGTCGCTGCGACAAACAGCGACTGCTCCGAAAAAGTCGCAGTGACAAATCGCCGCGACTTTTCGGAGCGGTTAACTAGATCGCGACTTGTGACCTGTGTCATGTCCTCACGTAAGAAATAGCTGCTATTTTTTTTAAATCGTTGCATTTTCTTCGAAGCAGTTTCAATGACCGTAATTTTTTTGGCAATCTATGCTCTTTTGTGCAAGATTTTTTTAAAAAGATAATAATAAATTTTATTTTTATAAAATAAAGTTTGAAGATTAAAAACAGTCGATTACTTATTGCCGCCAAGATACATTTTTAAGGATTGTAGATTAAGGGGGCGCAAAAAACAGACTATTTTTTTGAGTCTCCAAAGAGCAGCTTAAAAAATATTTTTTAGATGTCGCTCAAGATTTTTTTTATATACAAAAGTATTGCTTCTGATGTTTTTGAGCGACCTTTAAATTTTAATATCAAGAATTAATTTCAATTTAATATTTTGAGCTAAAAATTTGAGATTTTTTTCTTTTTAGGCCACAAAATTCTACCGTCATGAGCAAAAAAATTTGAAAAAACAATCCAATTTTGGCTAATTTTAAAATTTTTAAAAATCTTGAGCGACCCATAAAATTTTTTTTAACTGCCTTTTGGAGGGGATCTTTTACCATATTTTCTCACAAGACTCAAAAAAAATAGTCGTTTTTTTGCGCAGCCCTATTGTAGATGTACTATTTGTTTTATACAAATTTTAACGACTGCGATTAGAAGCATATAATATAATAGTTTTCGTTCCGATCGCAGTTCCAGTTCACATCAGATAAATATGCGATGCGACATTTATTTTTAGCAATAGTGCCTGAATGAAAACGTGCCTAAATCAAACCCAGCTCCAAAAAGTCGCAGTGATTTTGAAAGAACCGGAGCGGTTCGCTCCAGCGACAGGAAAGTAGCGGCAGCAAAATCGCTGACAGCGAAATCGCAACACATCTATACCCAATATATATTGAAATGATATCATACTGTATATATATATATATATTTTTTTTTTAATTCAATTTTAAAATATACTTACCTCGGCTCACCACTGTGATTTATAAATAGAACAAAAGAATTTTCTTACTCTCAGGGGTGCTTCAAAATTATTAAAATATTATTTATTTTATTTTGTTTTATCTTCTTTTATGTATTATATTTTTTATTTTTTATTTAATTTAAATTTATTTTAATTTCATTTTATATTTTATTCATTTTATTAGGTTCTATTAGAAATTATACAGAATGACCCCAGACAAAAAAATGACTTCTATATTTATAATATTGAGCGGTTAGATGCTTGAATAAACAAACTCTTACAAATTCGAGTCTAATTTTAATAAATAACACTATCAAAAAATTGAACAAATATCAGGTATACCATACCTGGTATAAATGAAAAGCTTTAAAAAAAATTAATAACTAGCCTACTACACTTACTACACCTACTAAATAAAAAAAAATAACTCTTGTTAAATAAAAATTACAAAAAAAAATAATACTTAGTATCGTTAGATTTTACTCTCACTGGCCTATTTATTAAGAGTTATTTGAAATCTAAACTATAATTATATTTATAATTATTTACTTTTTGAAACAATCAACTTGTTATGATTATCCATTCATAATAGCCTGTAGTTGCTCAAAAACAAATAAAAATGTTTTACAAATACCGTATTCACTTTTTTGGTCACTGCTGTGTCCTGGTCATCCTTATTTCATACGCCTATCAACTTTTATATATTTTCATCTTCTTCTCCTTCTCTCATAAAATGTTATGATTCGTATTACCTTTTACACCATGCCTTTAATAATTTGTTTATTTAAGTTTTCATACATTACAATCCTATTCTAATTTTAAAATTCAAAAATTGACAACCACCATTTTTTTTCTTAATCAATCTCCCACACATACTTTGATTTTCTTTTACTATACGGAGAATGGTCGCACTGCGCAGCTTTCTGAGTGCCTTTTAAAAGGAGATAGAAAACTCCGCCATTTTGAACCCTTATTACGTGTTGCCTACATCTTGGCGCAATATTTTTAATAGGTGCGTGTTAATCATCCGCTTCTGCTTCGGAATTGTCGGTTTTCTTGTTTTAATCTGACAGGTTAGAACGACTGAACCGACAATTCCGGAAGCAGAAGCGGATGATTAAAACGCACCTGATATTTTGCTTGCTGCTGTCAGTGTCAGTGAATATTATTTTTGGAGCCACAGTTTATTGCTAAAGAATCAGTTAGCTCACTCGGACCAGTTGAAGGTTCCAAAATAACATCCACTCCAGGGATACAAATTCAGGATACGCAGAAGACTGCTGTTTTATTATAGGCGGTTGTCATATATTGTATTATCTGAGTTGCGCAGTGTATAAACTGGAACATTGAGGTAAAAAGTGTCGATGCAGAGTGAGCGATCTGATTCTTTAGCTATAAACTGTGTCATAGGGTTCAAAATGGCCGCGTCCTATGTTGGGCGTGTCGGACCTCTCTCTTGCCCCGTATAATAATCAAAGTATGTGATCTCCCATCATTCAAAAGCCCGATTCATAATTGAATTTCTATACAGGGTGTCACTGCATCATACCAATATGTATCATTTACTTTGTTAATTTAAAAGTGAAAAATTTACCATAACAATATATATTTTACACGTGAACCCTGATGCACGCAGAAAGTACTACATCTAGTACAATTGTGAATTGTACTAGACTGGCAACACTGGTTTGGCAACCTTGTTTGTGAGCTAAAGGACAATGATGTACCAAAAAAATATAGATTAACACGTATGAAAATAAAAATATTAAAATTAAATTTATATTTTTATGTTATTTATGTAATATTAAAATAATGTGTTTTTATGAAATTTAACTGGGTGTTCACTGTACAAATGAACCAATGGAGAAACCGCCCCTGCCTGCTATTGCAGCCATCTTAATGATGTTAAGATAAAAACCATCAATCATATACCTGATAGCAATGGTCCATTCAAATTAAACTTAGAGAATACAAATTGTTAACTTTGATATGAAACGAAGCGCTTTTAAATTTAAAACCCACGACTAAAAAAATGTATTTGTTTTTTTTTAATTTAAACAAATTATAACAATAATTTAGGAATAAATCATTGTTGCTATTGTAATTTTTTGTTTTCTCCAGTTTTGAACATGCTTTTTAATCGTGACTATATATTTTTTATTATATCAAAAACTACATGTCAAAACGAAAAAAATCAGTACCTGAAGAACGTAGAATTTCTTCGAAAAAAAGTGTTTTGAATAGAAAAAAAAATTTGTTTTTGCTTATTTAAGCCATACAAAGGTGTAATTTTACCAAATTTCATCAAAATTAAATTATTTTTGAAGAAATGAAAAATAAAATATCTAAAAAATTGACAATTTAGACGATTAAAATACATATTATATACCAATAATATCATTAAACTATTAATAACAAAAAAGTCATTATATAATGGGCGTATAAAGAACTTTTCTATTTTTATTTCGTCTACATTTACAAATAAATCTTAAATTTTAATCACAATATTAGAAAATAATTTAATTGCGAGTATTAAAACTAAAATGCTAAGTGTGGCGATGATGTGTTTAAATCTGGGCTGGGTACTACTAATTAAATTAAATATTTTTTTATGTTTATCTTATTTTATAAATTAGTAAAAGTCATAAATTATTTTAAAATTATTTATTTTGTCTTAATAGCTTAAAATAAATTTAGAATTGTAGATTTTTCGTTAGTGGGTCGAAGAATAAATATACTGTACAACTCGAGTGGACTGTTGCAAAAACCACTATTGCTGTACTTACATAAAAACTCTTATACCTACAATGACCTCCTTTCACACATGGATAAAATATATATTCAAATGAGAATAGATGGCAGCAGCACTTTTTGAACTTTCTTCCACTCGTATTAAGTCGTGTTTATTGTTCCTCCTCTCCTTTTTATAACATTTCCATCGTCTATATCAATGAAAGTAGCGTGACAATATCTATTGTTGTCACCCCTAATATTTAACCAGTTATATAGATAAAACTGTATCTTGAATTTCGAATAGTTGTAAATTTTTTATATAGAATTACAGAAAATTTTTGATTTTGTCGTTAAAATACCAAAAGGATTTTGGATTATAATCAATTATAATTTTCTCTAATGCCGAATTTTTTTGCACACAAGAAAACTTGATAATATTACTTTAAATAATAAAAAAATTACATGTCTCAGCAGATAACCTCGACCAAATTAGGTATATTATTAAATAATTAGTGTTTAATTAGTTGAAAAACATTTGGAGTTTGCTTATTTTTACAATCGAAAATACAACATTTTGTTTTTGTTTCAGGAATGAGTGCCTTAATGTATGCGAATTCCTTGAACCCTTTAGTAGGCACCACATACCCTTCGTATATGTGGCATCCAATACCAGGATTATTTCTACCTTATTCGCCAGCGCATAGACCTGAATCGTTAAGTCCTGACCAATCTACATCCTTGGATAAAGGCTGTTTCTCGGATAAAAGTAAACAAGGTAAATTATAAAGTTATTTCACTAATTTTGGCACTCAATTTGAACTACTAAATCATTCTTATCAAGCAAAGGTAAAATTAGTGGTAATTTCATAATCAAAAATAGTAATGGCTACAATAGAAAACTGTCTTATTAACGATGACATGAACCTTTTTATTCATATTTATTTATGGCGCACATTCTAAGAAAAAAAAGCAAACCATTTCTGTAAATATCAGTGATTAATAAGCGCAGCGTTTCCATAAATATTTCTAATTGGTGATTAAAATTGAAACAAGCCTCAGTAAAATGACGATTACAGCAATAATTGGACTGATAAGTCTAATAAGCTTCGAACTAAAGATCCAGAAAAACGTTAAGGCATAAACAAAAACAGTGTTATTGCTTATCATACCATTAACGACAAACGCTTACCCTTGGCTGATAACGACACGGGTTTGCAAATATTTACTCCAATCGGAAATTTTCTTTAAATACCTTTGATAAAAAGTAACTAACTATGCCACTTTAACTAAATAACTGCATTGGTTTTTCATAAAAATTGTACGTTGTTTTGATATTTCTGTATGACATTATGCTAAACATGTATGAAAAATTCGGTCAGTAAATTCATCATAATATATTATATAATATAAAGGAATATAACTTCAAAAATATGATAGAATATCAGTTGAAAACAATTATTACAACAATATATATTCTTAAATCAAGAATTTGTTGTCTGTCAGTGGCGGCTTGTGGTAATTTAAAATGGGTGTTCACTAAGTGATGCTAAATGGTTGGATATGACATGTAGAAGAAGACTTCATATGGCTACTCAGTTTCACAAAATAATTTTTATCTAGGGCTGGCACTTAGAATCAGTTTTACTGTATGCCAGATCTATTTTGCAGTGTTACATTAGGTGTTTTTTTACAATTAAATTTTTTTTGTTCCATATTCTGTGTAAGCTGCAAATAAATGAATTTATTATTATTATTATTATTATTATTGTTAAAAATGAAATAAAAGCCCCATATTTAAATTAAATCACCTTTTCCTTAAGTAAAAATAAGGTAAATAAAATTAAGGGTGGGTACCAAAAAAAATTTAGGTAACAATTAAAAAGACATTAAGTTTGAGAGGTTTAACTAAATATTTGCAATGTGCATATATTTTCAAAGCTTATAGGTTTAAAAAGTACTTACATATTTTTAGAATTTCTGGATTCATATTATATTAAAAGGACTTTCAAGTTTATTACTCATTTCTATAGAAACAAGTGTTTTCTCGCAAAGATAAGCCAGATGTCATTTAAGGTTTATGTATTTCGAGTTAAATCCCTGGCCTGGCTATCACCCAGACAATACCGTCCATTCGATATATAATTTTGGACGTCTAGACGTCCAAAAATGAGTTTTTTTCTGGACTTCCGACATCCAATAGACGTTCAGTGAAGTATAAAAATGGCACACTTTTGACCATTCAGAGGACGTCCAATTCTGGAATATATTTGGACGTCGAATACTGGACATTCAATTAAAGATCGCTTGACCTGAGCAGTGTCGTAGTCACGACACATCCATTTTTTATTGTTTACTAAATATAGTTATAATGGAATAAGATTTCAAACTTTCGGTGATAGAATGAAATGCAATAGATTCAATTTGTCAATTTTTAATAACCAATTATATTTAAAAAAGGAAGTGTATATAGATGGGAATTAGGCTTAATAAATAATAGCCCAAGATGGACGTCCGCTAGACGTCAAAATACTACTAAACTTAAAATTAAGTTCAAAAACAGATGTTATCTGGGTATCTATATTCAGCTGTCAAATTAATTAGCATAAACGGACGTACACTGGATTCCCGGATATGGACGTCCTGATCCTCAAATGGATCTAAAATGTACGTCCATTGGACTATGTGTGCTGTCTGGGCATAAACGAATTTTTAGAAATAGTACTTATTTTAGTATGTACCAATCTTTCCAAAATCAACTCCAGTATAATTCATTCAATAATTATAAATATGAATGGGCAAAACATCTTTATATTGACATAATTGTAACTTACAATTTAGCCATAATAAGGGGATTTCGCCCATTTTGATCAATCCTAATTGAAACACGCGGATTTATTATATTTTTTTTTAATATAATTTCAAAATAAAATAAACAAAATCTGCAGTTCATTCTTTATTAAATTTATTTAAAAGAAGACAAAATAAAATGTCAAAAATTATTAAATCATTATACTTAATATTTATACATGTGATAAAATTCTTAGTTTCCTAATAACTTTTTTGGCACATTTTATATCTGTATTAGAATACCTAAGTGTGTAAAAAATCTTCATCTTATTACTACACAAAACAAACACCATGAAATATCACTTAACATTGCTCATATACTAAACACAACTTGGACTGACTTTGACAGATAACATCATTTTGAGTGATACACAACTTATTTTCGCACATGCGCGTTACAAAACGGTTCACTGAAAACACCAAGCTGTCGCTTCTCCTTGATCGGTATTCTCGGCTTCGCAGTTTAACAGACCCCCTTAACTCCCATTTTTAAGCAGATTGTTTTCACAATCAATAGGCCTCATCTCCTTATAGACCTTGATTTTTACTAAAAATTTTATGTTGATATCGCTTTTGATTTTTGATTATTTTTTTAATTCAACCCCCCTTAAAACCCCCATATTTAATCAGATTTTTTTTATAATAAAAAGGCTGCTTCTCCTTTTAGGGATTGATGTTTGCTAAAAATATATTCATATTTTTTTCAGAATCAATAGGCTTTATCTTCTTATAAAGCTTCATTTTTACTAAAAATTTCATATTGATTTCGTTTTTAATTTAAGATGTTTTTTTAATTTCAACCCATCTTAACTTCTTATTTTTAATCAGATTTGTTAAAAATCAATAAGCTTTGTCTCCCCTTATAGAGTTTGATTTTTGCTTCAAATTTCATGTCATTTCTAGTTTTTGACTTATCGTGCAGACAAAAAACATGACATCAACAATAATATTCAACTTCTTTTATTAAAGGATACTAAAAGTTTGAAATAGCAGCACATAATTGAACATTTACATAAATCTGTGAATTAAACTAGTGAGATACACATCGTAAAATGTTATCACACTTAATTCTCCATATGACCCTTTCTAAGTGTATTTCACAGCACATTCCAAAGTATTCTTGCTCTCACTCTGTCCCTTATGGGCCCTTATGGCAGACTTTTGCATGTCCATGTTCACTAAAAAATAGTGTGTTTTAATAAATAACAGAATAATAGTATTTTGTCTAAATAGGTAAATCGGCTTCATCTGTATTTTCAAATTATTGTTTAATTGTAAATATATTAATGTTTTGATATGTACTCATAGGATTGATTAGCCAAATCATGTAGATATGTGGGATGTGACTTGGTAAGTGCTTAATCAATACCTTTGTACTCTTTTTAATAAAAAAATTTCATACATAATAGCTACATTCAGTCCTGAAGACACTCCTTGGGCAGAAGCCAAAACATTTTAAACAGTGAAAAACATTTTGTTGTATTGACTTTCAGTACTTACCTATATTTTTTATTTTTGTTCATGAAATTGACCACATTCAAACCCTTATAATTTAATATCTAAATAGTTCATGAAAATAAATGTTGCTCAGGATTTTAGCTTTTATAAATGTATATTGTTTTTATTAATCATATAAAAGTAGATCACCATTAACTTTTTAATTTTTATTTGATTTTGAATGTACGTTTTTTTTATTAATTTAGATTATAGAACAGGGTACCTAATTAATTTTATTTTATATTCTGTCATGTTGTGTCCTTTTCGTTTCCCAAAATTTGTTATTATTAATAAATTCCTATCACTGCATATTAGGTTTGGCTACAAGAAAATATAATTTATAAATAAAGAAATATTGTTTCTTATAATTAAAGTACTTATTATATATGAATAGTCCTTTGTTTTCCATCGTAAAATCCACATTCACATTGTTAAATCTTCTTAAACTTCGTTTTCTTTACGTACTTTTAAATAAGTAGGTATATCTTGTAAACAATTCTCATCGTCTAGTCTCAACTCTTGCCGTTTGACTTTCTTTGCAGGCATTGTAATCCGAAGCGATATTCCTTATGACAAATTTTGAGCTCATTACAAAAACATATCTTTCGTGTTCACCTGTCGAGTGTTCTCTTAAATAGGACGACAAAGACAGAGAAAACTTTTGATAGAGACGTATCTCGAATATCGACACACTTTACTTCATACTGTCACTTGGAAAAGCGCCGTTGCCAAATTTACCATATAGAAGATAATTTAGGGAGTGAATAAAGTTATGAGTTCATTAGCTAACGAGAGATTTTAACAATCGTTCTTGCAACCGGCTGTTAGCTTTCCAAAGAAGCATAGCGTTCAGATTTTGTTATCAAAATTTATATTAATTTTATTTAAAAGTTTCAAAATAGTATTTTAAAGTTTTTTTTTTTGGTTCAATCATATTGATTGTGTGCTCCATTTTGTAATTATTTAAATAATATCCTGGGTTTTAGAATAGCAATATTGCTGTCAGACATTCTCCGTCATCAAATATTTTATTTATAAGAAATTATTAGCAAGATTTTTAGTAACAATGTTTACTTTAGTGCCTGTTGTGTTTAAAATATCTTTAACTGTTTTTTTATCTTAACATTTTTGATTAAATACATTTTTATAATACATATAACACTGATTATTTCCAAAATACAATACTATGCAAATATATCTGAACAGAAATTTTAAATTAAAGATAATCTCATTTATTGGTTAAAATTACAAACAAAGAAAAAAGAGATCATAGTAAAATATGTCCTTCCTTTTTTTAAACGTTTTGATAAAGAGTCAACAAGTTCTTTACATTTTTATGATATTTGCTGGTCTGGAAATCATACTATCTAAATTACAGCCTTAATTAATTTTGTTGGACAATCTATTTTACGAATTCTAGCTTTTTTTTTAGTTGGTCCTAATTCTTATTATTTAATTGTTATAGATGACGACGCACCTCTCAATTTATCCCTCAAAGGACGCTCGAGAACACATAGCATATGGTCTCCTGGTAGTTTATGCGAACAAGAAATGAAAACGACTGAAATGCGACCTGATTCTAGTGTAACTACAACTATAATTAGTCCTGTAAAAAATATAGAAAATAGATGGAAATGGGATAACGAAAGGGATATCCACAATAGGGTGCCGACGATAGGACCGTCAGGAGAGAAACAGTTTACTGTGAGTTTGTTTTTTTTTTTCTACAAATTATATTAAAATTTTTCACCTCTATTTAATTAACCGACTTCAAAAAAAGAGGAGGTACTTAATTCGTCGGTATATTTTTTTTTATTTCTATGATTCTTTTTTTGTTGGGAATTGGGTACCTCAGGGGTGGTCCCTTATAAATTTGGTTAAGATGTGGTGATGGCACCTGAAAATTAAACACCTATTTTAAACCAATGAAATGGGTGTTTCCTACAACGGTACCCTGGAAACCCAGGTATTTTTTTCTGAAATAAATCAGTGTTTATTTTATTTATTTTGTGAATTAAACATACACATTTGAACAAGAGTGAACAAATACTTACCTAATAACATCGTATTTTTCTTTTGCATGTGACATTATATTAAGTTTTCGTGCAAGTTAAATGAAACATGAGCTGTAGGGATATAAGTATAATTGTCAAAACTTTTCAGTACCTAGGTAGTAATAAATATTTGTTTTCCTCGAAATTCTATAAAATTTCTTAATGTTCAAGTTAATCTAGAATTTTATTACGTAATAAATTGGATTAAAGTGAATAAGGTTTCTATGTCTTAGGAAAATCTGTTTAAATGGTATCAAAATCAAATCGTAAGACAAGTTCATCAATACTTTCTACGATTTTAATTCCTAACCCTATAATAAAAACCTACGGAGTGAATCATTAAAATAAAATAACTTTTTCAAAAAATAGACTCAAAAATAAGAAACTTACATTAATTTATTTCAAAATGTATTCAATATGATTCTGTCAAATTTAAATAATGTAAATAACGTGAAAGAGATACATTTGATTTTCCCGCAATGTTGCAAAGACCTAAGTAGTTATGGGGTTTTCCTCAATAACATTTTAAATGTGTTCTTGTAAACGAGCCTTATTTTCAGTTTTCCATACTAAACAATTTAAATTTCTACTTTAGACAACACGCTACTGAATTCACACGCGACTGAATTACAATAAACGGTACACAATGTGTTGAATCCTAATCATTTTAAATTTTTATTTTGTCATTCCGATAGGTAATTTATTAAACGACTTCATTAATGTCACTTTTAATTTGAGTTGCCTATTAGTAGATTCAAATCAAAGACATTTTGCGCGAATTTTTTGAGACCGATTCACGATCGTAGACTCGTACGATGAAAAGTCCTTTGAGAAGGTCAGTACGAAATAAACCGTTTGGAAGACCGGTAAAGTTACGTTCGTTCTTATCAGTAAAATCAGAACAAAACCTGTGGTAGAAAAAAAGTCTGGATCGTTCCTTGGATACCGGAATAAAGAGCTCTCACGTCACCCCCCTAGATGTAGTTTGGGTAAGTGATTTGGTCTCAAGCGTTTTTTCATAACCTTTTTATTCTTTTTTTATTCATTTTTTAACTGATATTTAATAGAACAATTTTGAAAGACATACAGTCTTATTTTTCTCTGCCTACTGTTTAGGCTATCAACTGTTCCTACTTGCGGGAACGTACACAATGAATCGTGTTTAAAAAAAGAAACAAAAAAAAAACATAAAAGTAAAAAACAAAAAAAAACAAAAAACAAAGAAAAAACAAATAAAAGAACAAAAAACAAAAACAAATAAAAGAACAAAAAACTCAAAAAAAATAAAAAGACAAAAAAAGAAAAATAAATACCTGATCATCATCGATGTCACTTCCTAAATCATCAAAATCGTTTATTGTGACACTAATGTATTTAGTATAGACTATTTTCACGAATCTAATATCTACTAACTTTTTAAGTACATCGATATTTTTTTGTACGATAAATACTTGAAATGAATAATAAATTTACAGTGCTTTAAAAAGTTCATATTTGTAATAATAATTTAGAACTCATTGTTTTGCACCATGTTACTGAACCCATTATAGAACCTCGTGGAAGACTAATAGTTTTTTATATTCTGAATTACCTCATTATACTTATTATGTATTTCATGATGTAAATAAGTTAAATTAAAAATTATAAAAATCAAATGATAAGTAAATAACAACTGTTCTTTTATCTCCGATTTGCAGAATAAGTTTGCAAACTAACAATAAAATCTTTGACAACATACTTTTGTAATTACTTTTTAATTATGTAACGGTTGATATGCATGATTTAAACTTGCTGTTTTAGTGTTGAGAATACATTTTTTTACTTAAATCTTAAACAAATAATTTTGAATGCAAATAACAACATAAAAAACTGTAAACTGTTGGTGAGAAACTCTTAAAAATATTTATAATCAAAAAAAGCTGTAAATAAGTAGGAAAATCGTAAAATGTTTAAGGTTAATGTCCCGTCTTATGAACAACATTAAATAATTATACCTAAAACAATAATTTATATACTAAGAGTATAATTTTCTACATGAAAGCTCAAATCAATATTTTTTGTATGTATTGAGGTAAGAAGTATAGCTTAAGGTGTGCGATCTACAGATGTGAACATTTCTAGTTGGGACATCAGAGGCTTCGGAAACTTTTCTGGTATTGATGTAGCATACTCATTAACGTCGGTGATGAACCATCGCAGTTAGAAATAAACCAACATAAAATTAAAAAACATAAACAGAAGTTCGTAATCATTATGGAATTTCAATGAATAAGAAAATAGATTTGAGCAACTCGTGAAGACTTTGCAAACATTTGGGTGTGGATCAGGCGAACAGAATAAATGCACGGTGTAGTAGAAATCCGAAGTGGCCTATTCCGATGGAAATGTTTTAGTTTTTTCGCCGTTTGGAAGTTGACAGTAATAATAATTTTTAGAAAACTTACGCCCACCTTCACTTATTGGAAAGTTCTCAAGAATTACTTGAGAGAGGGTCCTTTTTCAACTAAAGTTCTTGCAGAGTCAGCAGTTATAATGTCTGGCCATTCCCCAGAATCTTCAGATAACATTGATAACAAAATATCTTCGTCTTCGTCCAAATTCATTTGCATGGTAACTTCCGAAGTTAATTCAATGTCGTCATTTACCACATTCTGATTTTTTGACCACATTGTATTAATTTTTCTTTAGCACCATCGAGTAGCCCTTGAAAAATTAGGATCGGAAGATATAAGCCGTTTTGCCAAATATTCAGCAGTTTTCACAAAATATTGACCTAAAGTTGAAAAATAGGTGATTTTAACACCATATCTCTGTAAATATTTAATTTAGACCGCAAGTATGTGGTATCTGCGAAATCAGCTCATCAGCTCTTCAATGAGAATTCAAAATTACGAAAATATATAGGGTGTTCTATTTAAAAAATAGTAACTTTGATATGGTACACTTTTCTGGAACACCCTGTATATTTCAAAATAATTTTAAAACGTAGTGTTAAATGACATGTATACCATATTAAGATAGATATGTATACTGTATATACAAAAAATTACAATTTACAAAGTTTATTGTCAATTTTTTTAATTTTTGATGAAGGAGAAGATTAAATAATGATTATATTAAAAAATACTATTCTACTATTGAAATTGTTTATGCCAATATTTTCATAAAATTAAAAGTAAAAGTTAAAAGTATTTGTTTCTAACATGCGAATATAATAAACACACATACATAAATATCTATTAATCTGTTATTCCTGTATTCCTCAGTCAAAATAAAAATTTATATAGGTTAAAATAAGAATGAATATACCTACCTACACTAAATTGATTATTAATTTGTTTGAAATTAAATTAAATATTAATTTGTTTGAAATTAAATTAAGTTTTAATTTTCAATAATATTTATTATGCCAAAAATCAAAAATAACATTTTTTAAGAATGGTTAGTTATTATATTAAATTTCACTGAATAATAACAAAAATGAAAATAGAATATAAATAAAATTGCTAATACTACTAATTAATTACAATTACTTACAATTACTTACCATCTTTCATAGGCACAGTTTTCACTTTTCACGATCGGATTACATAAGATACAATACAAATATAATATCAGTTATCAATTATTGATCAAATCAAAATCAGAAATAGAAATCAAATCAGTTAAGTAAATAAATATTATTTATGTTATTGAGATGAAGAAAACAATAGTAATGCAGATGCATTTTGATGAACCTTTTCTTTTATATTATTTTTAATGTAGGTAGGAGTAGCCGACAAAGTAAACATTACCATTTTGAAATGATAAAAAATAATAATTTTCTCATATTTTGTCCACCGCACCATTTGATGCGGCCGCCTAACGAACGCTATCAAAGCGTCGGCACTCGGCAGCCTGTTTTTGACTTTGATCATTACTACCGACTACCGCCGGCCGGTCGTTTGTGGTTTGTGGATAAGTGAAGTGGGTAATTAAATCGTCATATCTTGCCGCGGCCGGCTGCCGCCCCTTGTTTGTTAAGATCCATATGCCACATTTTAAAACATTAGACATTTTTATTACAATAAAGCTACCGCCTTACTTTTTTGCCAGTCTAGTCGAAACGCGCTTTCGGCAAGAAGGGACCATTGCTGTGGCGGCCTACGGCCACCCTAAATTTTGGCCGCCTGTGTGTATTGCACACATTGCACCCATGGACGGCACGCCCCTGAAGCCTGAGCAACATCTAGAAGGAGTGAGGTGCAGATCTTATTTTCTTTTAGTGTGGGAGAAATTAAAAAAATTAACTATTTTCAAATTAAATTTACTGCAATAAATCGAAATGCAGCAAATGTTAATTTATCGTTTATATTTTGTGGAAATTAAAAAACAATATAATTACATGTTTCTATTTTTGGATTTATTAGTTTTAGAAATGACGTTATTATAAAATATTTACCACCTTGTATTATTACACATACAAATACAATATAAAAAGGAGCTATAAGCCAATGCGAACTCTTAAGATATTCAATTGTTTAATGCTTTTAATATAAAATTGGTACCATTTTGCTTCAAACATATCCCATTAATATTGCATGAAACAATATCGAATGTAAATGACTGTAGCTTCGTACAACTGTAATTTCTGTCGAGCTGGTATATCGT